TATTTCTTATTTTCAACATAGGAGAAACTCAAATTAGAAGCGATTTGTTTTGTAGCGCTGTTCATCATACATCTTTTGAAAAAAAAATCAAGATTATGTCATATACCTGAACACAAATATTCACAAAAAAAACTATGTTATGATCATTTTTGCACGTCAGTATTTAAACTCATATATAACCCTTGTTGTAACGTGAATGTGGAGTTTGAAACTCTTCACTTCATACCTATAATGATGGGTAAAAGGTCAAACAAATATTTTCTCAATCATTTTTTCTACCAAGAAAAAAAGAAGATGAAATTTCGACAATTTGATAGTGTAAAGCTACATAAAAAAAATGCACAAATAAGAAATTTATTATTATTATTAAAATAAAAAATGAAGTTTTATTTCAATTCGACAAAAATTCTCTAAGTTTATTTTTGACTGAATGGTAATAAAACACGAAATTTCAACATTGAACATTAACTTTTACCATTTGTGTAATATTACTCAAATTTAAACATTGTCCATAATAATATTGTTTAGGTTGGTTAAATTCAATATTTATATCTTGTAGATAAAATTCATTAATATCTAAAGCAAAAATTCCATCAACTTCTGCCCAACTCATTTGTGGTTCTTGTGATGGACGATAATCATATGATGGATGTTCAGTAACATTACTCCATCTATTAATTACAAGTGAAATATTTTCAAAATGAATATTTTGTAATATACTTGTATTTCCTCGAACTATGATACCTTGTTCACCTTTAGCAATTATATTTCGAAAAGTAACATTATTTAATATTCCTGTCCATTGTCGATTGGCACTCATCGAAAGACATGTTACATATATTGGTTCAGCTGAACTCCACCAATCCAAACCAAAAAATCGTGTTTCTATATACATTTGTTCAAATAAAAGATTTGATATTCTACCTGATCCCCAACGTGGTGCTAAACATAAACCACGATTTGTATTTGCTATACGTATATTACGAAATATCATATTATACATATCACCAGTAGAATTCGCTTCAAAAGAGCTTACTTTAATAGCAGCTGAAGTACTTTCTAAATCCATATTTTCAACAGTAATATTATACATAGATGATGAATCATGTGATATAATAGCAATACAATCATTACCAGTTGATATATTTGAATTTCGTATAATAATATTACGAGAATTAATTAAATCGATTCCATCATTATTCGGCCAACGACGATCACCAATTATTGTAACATTATTAAAAAGAACATTATCACTTTCAACAACAGTTACTGTCCATAATGGAGAATTTGTTATGGTTATATTTGTCAATACGATTGAATAACTATATCGTATGATAAGTAATTTTGGTCGACAACTGTAATAGGAACAATTTGGTAAAGTCCATTCAGTAGGAATAAGCATATTTGATGATTCTCGATATTCACGTACGAGATGACCTGGTGGACTATTTGCACCAGCATCAATATGACCTTCACCTTCAAGATAAACATGATGTGCATGATCAACAAGTAAAAATGGATAGTCACATGGACCTGTATCACTTGTCATACTTGGAATACATGAATATAAACTTGCATTATCCGATGCACGTAAAATAGAATTACGAGCTAGATAAAGAGATATATTTGATGAAATTTGTAATGAACCTGTTAGAAAATCACCAGCTGGTATAAGAACAACACATGGTAAATTATAATTAGTTGCTCGAATAAATGTATGTCGAATAGATTGTGTATTATCGGTAATACCATCACCAATAGCACCATCATCCAAAATATTGAATACAACGATTTGTTCAGTTGTAATTAATTGAAAACAGAAAATAATATATGATATCAAAAAAGATCTCAACATGTTTTCGTTTTTGATAGAACAAAGTATAGTGATGATAAGAAGTGAAGATATGAAAAAAATGTTTAGTGTTCTGTCATAGATAGATCAAACGTTACTTTCTTTTGTAAATGAAGAAGAGAAATCTAAGAAATCTTCAAAAGATTAACCCGTTGGGGGTAACGGGGTTATTTTTAAGAAAACAAAGAAGACTTTTCGAAATATTGATGAAAAATATTTATTCATAATGATTTCCAAAGAATGTCTAAAAATATTTTAGAGCATGATAGTCTTGAGAGTAGATCTTCTCTTCATAAGTTCGAAATTATGAACAAATCTTTAAAAGACCTGAAAATAAATTTTGAACGAGTTTCAGATAGCAAAAACGCCATCTAAGGTAGAAATAAATTGTATTACAAAATACATCAAAAGAAAGAACAAATATTTCTCAACAAAATAATGATGTCTTTGAAATTTCTTGATTTCTAGACTTACAAAATTAGCTCGATTATCTCTAAAGAATTGCTGGGAAACTTTCGGTTCTTCGCTTATCTTGTAAAGGACTAGCTCGTCCATGTGGCCATGTGAAAAAAAAATTGGCAATAGAAAGTTTTAAATAAGAGCAGCATTATTGCTGTGAAGGGCGTCTATTGTCTAGATGCAGATCAAAAAAAAGTATCCAAATGTGTTACAGTCAAGCTACAGAGTTGACCTGAAAAATTACTATTCGCTCTCTAAAAACAAAGACTTTCTGAAAGCAGTTTTCATCAAATCTATATTCTACAATAAAATTTAAAAAGTTCTATTCGCACTTAAAAAACGAAAAAATAAAATTGCATACATATTTTGATCGACGGGTTTCGACATTCTTCCAAAGACTTGTGGTTCGCTTATCAGATAAATTTTTCTTGATCATTTACATGGCCATAATTCTTGACGATTGAAATAGATTTCATCGCGATTCGAAAATCAATGTGTCGACTATTCCATATACTCGCACTTCTCTTTTTGACAATTTATTTACGCTGTTTGTTTAATATGTTTAAATGTACTTGTAATAAATAGTTCTGAGAGAATCAATTTTCAATAATGAGACCGTATATCAATAACCTTTCGTTATAATATATGAACTACTTTTATGATAAATAAATGTGTCCCAAAATAGAACGAATGCAACAATCTTTCGGTGATTAGCAACAACATCTACATCATATTTCATATTTTAATTCAACAGAAATTGCGCTAACAGTTTTTCTTTCTATATGACCATTGTCTCTGTTTTTGTAGTTAAAATCATATTTATTCATGTCATTTTTTTAATACAATTTGATATCGGATAAAGGTATTAGCCTTTTTATCAAGTTTATTTTCTAACTTAATAC